ATTCTTGCTGCAGGCAAAGAAGCCGCTTTGGTGCCATCTTCTGTATGTTCTTTCTCAAAATTCCAGTGTGATTTTCTCTACTAGATACACTGGGCCCAATTTTCTCCACCCTGCACATAGTGTAGTATTCACCCCTGTGCAGAGTGAGTGTGAAATGCTATCCAGTCTGCATGGGTATAAAACCTCCCTGAGGTGCAACACAATGGAGAATCAGGCTTACAATTTCATTCCTCTGGTCCTTAATTCACATAGGTACCTTCTTAGTATTCCTGTTTGGCCTGAGCTGTTATTCAGGTGGCTCTCTAGCCTTCTGTTCCCTCTTCCCTGTGTCCTTGTCTACACTGGGGAAATGAGGTATGTTTAGCATGTTTTTAAACACCACTTAGCACCTAGTGTAGACAAGGACAGAGGTGTTGAAAAGTTGTGGCCCCCTATACTTGATGTAAGTGCCAGTCTGTGCTGATGCAACATGACTGCATTAGGGGTTTGTTGCTGTAACTCTGTCCATGGAGCATGAGTTTCTGTAGTGTAGACAGGGCCTGTCTCCTTGGACAACTTTTCTCCTTTGCGGGCAGGTTCCCCCGTTGCTCTGACATTGCACTGATCCTGAATGCTCTCGGCAGGTACAAGGACTGAAGATGATGAAGGTTTTGGGCCTTGTTCTCTGTGGCCTGCTGATGCCAATGCAAGTTTCAGGCACAGGACGCTGCATTGTCCCTCAAGAGTCATATGAAAAGGGTAAGTGACTCAGGTCATGTCAATCTTTACACTGTGTGGCAGGATAACTGGGGATAAAACCTGCCTCACCAGGCCATTTTCATTCTCTTATTGAATACTTCTGCTCTGTTTGTTCTTGCATTTACTGATTTGTTTTGTGGCAGTCCCAAGTCCTCTGAACTCCTGTCTCCTTTAGGAAATTCAGACAGGCTACTGCACTGAAGACCCCTCTCCTGCCCATGAGTTAGGAAGGTATTTGTCTCTTCCTTTTGAGAGAGAGAGAGGCAACAGAATAATCTGCCCTGCAAGTAACATGGCAGTCTTGTCCCTTGTGAAATGAAAACGTTCCCAGAACACATTATTGGCCAAACTTTACAAAGCAGCCTGTGAAGTCGTGTCTGCAGGTCAGGAGATGCAGGTGTTTTTACAGATCCCCCAGATCTGGGTTTTTGTGTTTGCAAACAGCTGTGCAAGTGAAATTGCAGGCACAAATGTCAAGGGCCAGGTTGCGCGTCCTTTGCATAATTGGTTTCTCAAAGGACTCAAGGAAATGCTTTACAGTTTCCATTAGCAGAGAAATCTGGGAGCTGTACTCCGTTCTTGCTCTCTTCATTCATGGAGGTGATCCCATTTGCTATGTCAGGCTGAGAGGAACAGCATATGGATGGGCTGCTTTGAGTCCCTGCTGGATTTGTGCCATTTTTGGACTGTGCAAGCCTCTGGGCCAGATTCTCCAATCTGCTAAAGCCAGTCGGAACTCTGTAAGCCTCACAAAGTGGCTGGAGAAGGCCAGTAGAGAAGTCGCTATGTGCAGGGGCACTCACATCTGGAAATCTAGTGCAGGCCAACTGCCTACATTCCCTGTCTTGAAGGGATGGAGGGGGGCATGGATGGGATGAAGAGAGGAGGCCCAATCCTCCACTGGCAAGAGGCCCTTGAGTGGTGATATGCTCGTGGTGTAAGCCAGGGCAGGCTGTGCAGCCCCAACTAGCTCCGGAGCTGGTAGAGCCCGAATCAGATCTGCCCTGCAGCCACCACGCTCCAGTGCAACTTGTGTGTCGTGAAGGATCAGAGTCACTGAACTTCTTACCATGCAAATGATGGTTCGAAGTTCCTTCGCCACTGGCTCTGTGGATGGTTCCCCTGAGCGCAAAGCACCCTTCCATAAACACAGATATGGGCCTGATGCTACACCAGTGCGTTATTACTGCAGCTTTACGCTGCTGTAGATCTCCATTGATTTCAATGGACTGAAACAGAATTAGACAGTAGGCCCAATAAACTAACCTTGTGTCAGTTTTCAGTAAGGCGTGCACTGCACTGAACTCTGACGCTTTTTGCTAGGTCAAGAGAGTACTGAGAATTCTGAACGAGTGACGTGCGAGCACGCCAGGATCGAGTATTAAAACACCCGTACTATCGTACCTACAATTTACACCTGCCGTCACACATGGGAGCAAAATGACAGGTGCAGGTGGCAGAAATTTTGCTTCCTTTGCTGCACCCGTAAATCAGTTCATTAAGACACCTAAATCCTGTAGTCTGCAGCCACAATTGACGGAGAGCACAAGATCAGAGGCTGGGCTAAGATTCCTCTGTCTATTTGGCCTATTAGACTAGAGAAAGTGATGACTTAAACCGCCTTCTCTTATATCCAACTTGAGCTCAGTGTCCGAAACAGTAGGTCTCGTGGAACGTTTTTCTTTACAGCTTTTGAAGAGTCAGTAACGGGCCTCTTCCAGTCTGAAATGGAGAGACTCAAATTCCCAGGATTAACAATTACCTTATTCGCTATCAATGGGTGAGTAACGAAAAATAGAACCAAGGCTTCTGCACTATTAATATTCTGTATCTGTATCATGGTAGTGTGTAGAGGCCCCACTCTTCAACCAGGACTAGAGCTGGGGGTGGGAGGGAAGAGGAGGAGAAAGACGACTCCCTTAAAACTTTTCGCCCTAGTCACTGTGTTACGGGGTGTTCTTGGTCAGGTCAGCAGATAATATTTATGAGCGGGGCTCTGAAGCAGCCTCCCTGAACATCTGGGCCTAGTTTCCTTTCTGATCCACTCTGATTTCATTTTGCAGGTTGCATGTTGCTAAAGCCATTGTGCTCCCAGTGAAATCCGAGTACGTTCCTGGAGTTGGGGTCAAGGTGGGATTTTCTGCTAAACTCAAAATCCTTGGCACTTGGTGAGTGGAGCTAGACTCTTTTTTAGTTCGTTTCCATGGTAGAAGGGAATTGAATGAGGGAAGCTGTCTGGGTGGATGGGGGTGGGGAGGCAGGAAACATCATGTTGCTTCAGAAAACTTTGCAAAAATTAAAATTCTGCACCTGGGATCCCTCTCCATGATGAAAACTTGGTGAGACTCAGACCCTGTAGCCCACAAGGCTCAGAGAACATCAGACAAAGAGAAAAAAAAAAAAAAAAAAAAATTGAAGATACTAGACTCTCTAATAACAAATGGCTTTAACCCAAACCCCCTCAACCTCTGTGCCCTGCCCATTTGGTGGCTCTGCAGGTCACTAATAGGGCAGTGGGAGGTCTCATGACGTATGGTACTTCTGGTCCCTTTGCTCTCGGATACTGCAGCGTCAGTGGCTACTGGGAATTGTAGTCTTTGAACTAGGACTCTGCTGAGAACAGGCCACCAGTCAGAAGGATGCCACAGTCACCTGGTAACCTTATATCTTCCTCTGTGCTCTTTCCAGCCTCCCATCTTTTAGCCAGCATGCCGGGTATGTAAGATGTGATTAAACAGAAGTGGGCCTGGAATGAAATTTTGGAAGGCTGCAGAAATTCTAGGTATTTGAAAGGATTCATGCATTTCCCACATGAGAGTCAGCACCTGTGTATTTTAAGGCATTGGCTTCAGGCAGGTTTCTTCCTTTCATCACTACACTAACCTCTTAATGTGCAGGTCCTGGGCCTTGGAAATGTGCACTGTTGATTCAGTACTTAGTGTCTAACCACGCTTTTATTGGAAGCCCGGGTCCCTTTAGCGATCATGGAGAGGAGATGTTCCCAGGATGCTTTTTGTTCAGCACAAAGTGGCCAAATGCATATTTCCATTGACCATATGGTCCTAAAGAAGCCAGGAATCGCATGAGTCTGTGATTTAGACAAGTGTAGCTTTTCCCTTCAGTGGGACAGCAGTCTGTCATTACTCTAAAGGTAAGAGTAGGGTAGTCTAGTAAACTGCATGCGTACTTTGGGGAGTCACCGCTGAAATGCCCCTGCTTCGTGTTTGCTGTGAGCATTGGATCCAAGCTTCCGGAGGTTGTCTGAACAGTGATATCGGAGGTCACACTCTGGCTGTGTGGGCAAAAATAAATGTCCATACTTCAGAATGGTCATTTGTTTTTTTAACATGGGAATTTAACTTTGAATATCTCACTTTCTAATGTTTGTGTTTAAAAAAACCTACAACATTCGCTTCCTTTTTACTTCTATAGTGACTCCCACTCCCCGCTCTCAACTTTAGCTCCAGATTCAGATTTTTTGCCTGGTAATATTTATTTTTTTAACATTTCAGAATCTCTCCATGACAGGAGTCAATTTAAAGCAGGTCTCTGATCTGCAGAGCTGGCTGGCCAGCTTCTCCCCATTTCCTGTGTCTCTTGCTCCCTTGGCCGCCAGCTTCTCCCTGTTTCCTGTGTGTCTCTCGCTCCCTTTGGCTTGCGGCTTGAGCTTTCTCAGATGGTTGTCTTTCTCCTTCTCCTTCTGGACTGGCTAGACCAGGTTTGTAAGATTTGGGGATAGGCTCCCAAGGACTGGAGTGGAGGCCCCATTTCATGAGTCATTTAAACCCGGATCCCTGAAAGCACTGGTGAATCCGCCGCTGGGAACAATCCTGCCATGATCTCAGACGATGGACTAAATAGCCTATGTCATTTGTCTCTAATTTCTCCACTGACCACTTGTGATTTCCTGTAAATGTGGATTTGAGCCAGCGTGCACTAACTCAACAATGCCACGGCCTGGAGCCTATAAACAATGTCCCCTACATTGTCTAAAGGAAAACCAGGGGTGGAATCCTCTCAGGGGGATCAAAGTATTTACTACCATCCTCACTGCAAAGCAAATCTACACACAGAATACTTGCACTCTTTAGGACCAGATTCTGCCATCCTTGCTCACATGGACTGTTCCCCCTGCTATCGGGGGGGTACCCACGGCGGTGAGGTAATATGCACTGCGAGTCAGGGTGTCAGAATCTGGCCCTGGGTTATGACTGCGCAGAATGCAATCCGAGGAGCCCTTGAGGGGTGGACAGTGAGTGAGTTGATTGGTGGGAAGAGCAGTAGCGGTGGCAGGGATGGAAGGAAACTGGGTTTTGCTCAATGTACACACCCTGTATTTGGAAACAAGCCTCCATTTACCCGGAGCAGATCACAGGGTTGCCGTGCTGTGTGTGAGTGTCTGTCCGTTTAATGTGTGTTTGTCTCTGCAGCTGGTCTGTCCTCTTATCTGGCCTGACCACCATCAACATGCACGTAGACTGTAGTGCTCTTGTTCTGCTGCCTAAGTATTTGCCACTTACCACCAGCGTTGTCGTCAGGGATTGCCAGTGTGCTGTGGTTCTCAAGGACATCAGTATCAACGTGCTGTGAGTGCCGGTATTCTGGGCTGGGTCTGTCAATATCACCCTTTCACTCGTCACTGGATACGTTTCCATTTCCTACCTAGCATCTTTACGTCTTACATCAGTCTTTATCAGCAGAATGGCTGAATTCTGTTGAGTTCAAGTAGCCAGAGAAATAGATTCCCACATGATCCAGTATATCACAGTGCCATTGATTTAGATTCGTGTGGGAGCTCTTTGGAATGGGGACTCTCTCTTATTCTGTGCTTGTGCAGTGCCTAATACAACGGGGCCTGTTCTCAGTTAGCCTCTAGACACTCCCATAATAAACACGATAAATAATTGACTCTGCAGAACCAGGATCCTGGCACACAGTGGAATGGCTACAGAATACAATCTTGATGGATTAAGCTTTAATTCACAAAACTCAGCTGGCCAGAGGACAGGACTGAAATTAGAGCTGTCCAGTTATTTGTTCTCTGTCTACAGTAAGTGCCCCAAACTCATCAGAACTCCAACCTTTTCTATCCTGAAGGAGGGTCCCATTTAGGCACCGTTTAAAAACGTGAACTGTGCCTTGGACTGTTCCATGCTGATCGTGTGTCTCTCATTTCTCTCGTGATGCCAGTTTTGGGTTTTGTTGGTTTACTCTCTGTAATTTTGCATGCAGCGATATCCGTGCGAGCGTGACAGCCAGCCTAGGGAACAACATCGTACTGGCGTTACAAGTCAAGGTAAGTTTCCTACCCAACCCTGCCAGTTGCTCGCGTGTGGAGGAGTAAGGATGGTGTAAAGCATGCCTCCCCAGCGCCTCTGGATGGCTAGTCCAGGCATGGCGAGGGAGGGGAGAGGCTTTGCAGGACTCCTCTCCTACCTCCCTGACCCCCCACTGTGAGCTGTTGGGGCAGAGCATTGGCTGTGACCTCCACCCCAGTCGCTGGCCCGGAGCAGTCAGCTGTACTGCCGCCTTTGTGAGGACTGCAGTAGGTTACGTCTCCCTCTGGAGCAGAGACGGTTTTAGGATGTTGCTTCCTCTTACTCCAGGCTCAGAGGTTCGCTCTAGCGTCACCCGGTGGTTGGTGTGTGTTAGACATCTTCCCGTGTGCCCGATCTGTAGCGGGGGTGAGGCCATCACACCCCCGGTTACAAAACCGGGCTCTGTAGCTCGAGCTGTAGAGACTCATGCTTCTAATCCTCACTGTGGACCAGGATGGCAGCTCTCATACCAGCCCTTGGTGTGAGATGGCAAACACATTCCTGTAACCAGTTATTCCCCTTCCTGGGTAAAGGGTGGGAAGGTCTTTGTTAACACTGAGGCTGTAAGCTCCCCGGGGGATTTCCCCTCCATGCCTTGAGCACAGTGCAGAGCTCAATGAGTATCAGAACCCCTGTCCCCAATGATAATGATGCTAGGCAATGTTGTGTGGCTCCAACCCCTACTTGCCTCCTTAAGAAAAATAAAATAAAATCCTATCCTAAGATTTCACTAACCTCCGTACAAATCTCAGGGACAAAAATACTCCTGTTTGTGAAAGTCACCCAGACCATTGCAGCGATTTCCTCCTCCCTGACTGGGTCTCTTGCTTTGTGTTACAGACCCCTACAATACTTTCAGCTTGTATTTCCTTCGGGCATTCAAAGATGCTGAATGATATTAACTGTAAGTGCCACGGATTATCTTCCTTTGGGTTTTCTTTCTGTGTCCAGTAAACTCCATGCAGGAAGCTCTGGGCTTTTGCCAGCCCATCCAGAAGCTCTACATGTGTAGAGACCTGCTCCTGGCGTTGCTGCCTTTGAGTAAGACGACCGCAGCTGTTGTATCTTTTGTTTTTACACAACAAACAGAATACGAGGCAACCACATGAGCATAGTAGGGTCCAAATAACACTGTTTACTGAACATACACAGCATGCAAAGCCTACCTGCGTATACACACTGCTGCTCGGGGTGGCAGTTCCTAGAACAGAGCCCAGTGAGCACAGCTAGAGAGCTTACAGACTTCTCAAAGGAATACTGTCCTACTGCCTCCTTTGAGGTGTGGTGCTGGTGAAGGCTTCTGCGTGTGTCCTGGATGAAAAAGCAGACACGTGCTTATGTTAGAAAGGTTACTGGAGAGAAGCAGACCCTTTTGTCGGAAAGTGACAGGCACAAACTTTGGCCTCCTCAAGCGCAGATCTGGAAATAACTGTGAGAAAAGCTGCCTTGGAAGGAATGGTCCCAGGTGTCCTGGGTTCTCTGCTCACGGCTTGGGCTCCTCCTTGTGGCTGCATCTGAGGAATAGCTCCGCCCGGTCTGATCCCCCGTCCTGTGTCTTGCTCATGCTGCAGCCCCTCTCCTTTTCAGCAGTTGCAGCGTGCTCCCTCTTTGTGGCTGGGCCCTCTGGCCAGTCACTGGGTTTTCCCCCTTCTGGGGTATCAAAGTCGCCCTGGACTGGCTGACTGGGTATCGTTTCCAGCAGCTGTCCAATCCAAGGCAATGCCACTTCCCCAGGGGCTGGCAGGGGAACCCAGGCCTGCCCACTACTCTGGGTTCCAGCTCAGGGACCCTCAAATCAGCTGCCAAAGTCTGCACTGTCCCCAACCTTGCTGCTGTTTCCCTGAGCCGGTTCCTACTCCACCCCATCAGACTTCTGCTCCGCCACCTTCTGGGTAAACCCTTCCTTCAGAGCAGGATCCCAGGGCGTCTCCTCTCCCCTGGTCTCCTCCTTTCCCTCTCTAAGCCGAGACAGTGACTGCTGGCTCCCATGCTGCAGCCCCTTTCTGCCCTCCATGCCCCGCTTGCTCCTGCTCAGCTGGGCTCCCATCCTCAGTCAGGGATTGTTTATCAGCCTAATCCTCCCTCAGGTGTGGCCTATCAGATTACTTAGTCCATGCTGAGCCACACGAACGCTTCCCGGGCTAGTGTGGGGTGACCAGCCCATCACAACAGATCATGGTTGTAGGGGATGGCCAGCAAGGAGACGGACAGATGGCGTGCGGCACATCGCTGGGAGGTCAGCTGCCAAGCGTTCGAAGCTAGTGATGGATTGGGAAAGCTTCCGACCATTCTGCTGTGATGTCACCAATATTCATACGTGAATGTTACTTGCTGACCCTTTTCCTAAACACGGCACCAGCCTGGTGGAAAGTAAGAGTAAAGGAGCTTTTGTCAGGGAATACAAGAAGCGTTTCGGGGGGTGTTGGGGCAGGACAGGATCCTCCCCTCTCTACAGTTCAAGGTCTGTCTGCACTGGAGCTGGAAGGCGTAAATTCCAGCGCGAGGAGACTGACCCACGCTGGCTCCCATCCAGCTCACATGCTAAAAATAGAAGCGTAGCCATGGCGGCATGAGCAGCAGAAGGGCTCGCTGCCCCGTGTATGTACCTGTGCTCTCGGACAGGTCTGTGTTTGGGGCAGACGCCTCCTTTTGCTGCTCCCACGGCTGCAGCCACGCTGCTATTCCTAACACGCTAGCGTGATGCGAGTTACAGCAGGTATGTCTCCTCCGGCTGGAATTTACACCGAGCTGCAGCGTGCACATGTGCCCAGCCGCTCCGCTGCAGCTTCTAAGGTCTATCGGGTGTAGTAAAGCTAGACTAGGGGCCTATATGGAGTCCCCCCCTCGCTGTCCTTAATGTTGCCTCGGAGAGGCATTACCGGATCTGAGCGCGGTCTGCACAGCCTTCCCACGTTGTCTGGTGGAGTGGTCATGTCTCTGCTTTGTTCAGGGATGGGTGGGGGGCTGTGTTGGTGGGGGAGGCCGCGTTTTGTCACAAGACTGAATGGAGTCCTTTCCAGTTTGACTGGAATAGTAATGAGGGCCCAGAGTATCTCGGGAGTCTGTGGAATTCATCCCTTGCAGCAGAACTAGACTCCAGAATCTTCAGCTCACAGGGAGAACAATCTAGTTTCTATCCTTCATATTTGTAGAGAGAACCTTGAACATGTGACCAAGTGTAACCATTACCGTGGTGTCTGCCTGAGTCTACAGCCATCCTGAAACAATCTCTCTGAGAGCTTTGAACAGCCCCGTTCATCTCAGTGGGTGGTTGCCTTAAAGACAATAATCGACAACATATCAAAACCTGAATATGCAGGAAAATCATAAAACAAACTGAATTCAGTAACTACCTAATACATGACACAGGGCCTGCTGTTGTGACTTGACTTCTCAGCCTCACATTTCAGTTTAAGATACACAGGCTTTCACAGAATTATCACAAGCTGCCATAGACTTTTCACTAAACTGCGTCACAATCCAACCTCCTTGCTGCAGAGCTTAGGTCCAGCTTGTGGCAGAGTATGTAGGGGCTTGAAGATAACATGTATTTATATACTGCTTTTTGTCCCAAATTATCGTCTCAGCCTCCCTTGCCTCAGTCATTGACCAGTGTCTTGGCTTGTCTGGTTTTCTGCTTTGTCTAACTTCAATCACATGCTCTTTGGGCATGGAATGCATCTTTACCTGTGTTTGAAAATGACTCTGTGATGCATGTTCTCTCAGTTCTGGGCATGAGAACAAGGTGACTCTCTCTTGGAAGAGGGGGTTCTTGTGTCTCGGTGTCACTGATATCTAATTCTGACAAGTTTATTGGAGATGATGTTCCATTGATTGGAACCAACCTCCTATCTTTAAATTTATCTGGAGTTTTGCTGAAATCCCAGCTCAACATTGTGCATCTTCCATGTGCAGTGATTCTCCTCCATGTTTCTGGTTCATGTTGTAAACTTTTTTCCTTTCCACGCAGGTGTATTCCCATTTGAGAAGGGAAAGCTCTTGTATGTGGCTCAAACTCCAAAAGTAAATAACCGGTTCATTGAAATTCCTGTACAGGTAAGTGTGTAGACTCTAGGTAATGTCTGAGACTGAGATTTCACAACTTTCTTACGCTGGATCAGCCCTGAAACTCTGAAAGGTGTCAGAGCTTTCTTACCTTCTGTGATGTTGGTCAGAGAAATGAGTGACAGAAAAACCTCAGGGTAACTCGTCAGCTGTCAGCATAGCCACAGTCTCACATAGGGATCCATTCTGCTGCCCTTATTCATGTCAGTTAGCACTTATTCATCTAGACCCTGATCCTGAAAAGACTTAATAGCCCACCTTAATTGATTAGTCTTGTTAGAGTTGGTATGGCAACCATTTTCTCATGTTCTCTGTGTAAAGATATATATCTTCCTACGGTATTTTCCACTGCATGCATCTGATGAAGTGGGTTTTAGGCCACGAAAGCTTATGCCCAAATAAATTTGTTCATTTCTAAGGTGCCACAAGGACTCCTCGTTCTTTTCACTTCCTTAACTCCTCCCAGTGCATAAAGCTAAGTGCCTCCATACGTCTTTGCAGGATCAGGGCCCTATGCTTTCCCACTGTTTTTCTTGAATGAATTATGTGATCTCTAGCAATGGGGCAATTCCCGTGAGTAAGTGCTACTCAGTGAGAGTCAGCAGAGCAGAGTCAGGCTCAATGAGTTTATTACTCAGTGGAATTGAAGAGGCAGGATAAAGATGTGAAATAAAAGACCCACTTAGCGACAGAAGCAAGAGGCTTGTCCTGTTGCTAGGTTCTTGTCACTGGACTATGGTAACGGGCTTCCTTTGTCAGCAATTTTTTTGTTTCCTGATGTCAGCTGGCGTGAAGGGGGCCAAAGACTGAGCAGGAGAAAAAGCGAAGAACAGCCTTGGACCTGCTGAGTGACTTGGTAGCTTCCTGACACCAATACTGTACTAATTATATAAGGATCCAGCGTTGTCACTCTGCATGTCACGCTGAAGCCTGAGAATGCGAGAGTCAGTGTAAACCGATGGAAACCACTGTGCGAGCTTTTTGTTCAGAATGTCACCAGGTTCACTCGTCCCTGGGTTTTGCAGTCTGTAACCATCCAATTTTTAAGTTCTAAGCCATTTTGACTTTACAAATGACACCCATGTGACAGAAAGGCAGGTATCTGTGCCATACCTAGAGACCTAAACCATTGTGGCAGCAGAGATCACTCGATCACTCACACCATCCCCACCCTCACTCTGCAGCTAATTTGTATGCAACAATTTAATTGGTTGTGTGAGGAAACCTGTACAGTGCAGGGTGACTTGGCCCAACTGCCCCGTTCTTACAGCAAGGGCTTTCCGCTCCTCGTTAAGACCCAGCAACCTTCCCCCTCCTCAGCAGAGTCCATCCTCAAATCCACGGCAGCCCAGCAGAGTGAAAGTGAGAGGGTTGCTCTGCAGATAAAGAAACCTAATCGATTCACGGCTCACAGTTATGTAGATAGGAGATAATGCACATTTTGTTAACAGCGAGGATACTTAACCACTGGAACCGGTTCCCAAGGGATGTAGCCGATGCTTCGTCACTTGAAGTCTTTATGTTCGGTTGGGTGTCTTTCTAAGAGGTGCTGTAGCTCAACCAAAAGTTATGGGCATCCAGGCAGAAAACAGTAGGTGAAATGATCCGGCCCTGTGCGATGCAGGAGGCCAGAATAGATTATCACAATGGTCCCTTATGGATTCATAGATTGCAAGGCCAGATGACGTGGTTTAACCAACCATACAGGACTTGGCATGGTCGATGGCCATCTCTCTTGTAACCCACACTTACGCATGGTGACTCTCTGTCCCCCTCTCCTGCCCGGGCCACATAGAGGTGTATGAGTCTGACCTGGGTCTTCGAGTTCAGGCAGTAGAGGCCCATGCTTTTCCATCCCAAGGTCATAGTTTCAATCCCCTCCCCCATACAGTCTGAACTGCAATTTACAGCCGAACTCCCAGTCACACACTTTGCTCTCCTGGAGGGGGGAAGGGGGGGTGTCTCATCCTCCTGCAGTGGCCTCCACTGGCTCATGGTTGTGGAATTTGTACCTCCCTTACTAGCAAAGGTGAATCAGGTTTCTGGCAAGTGATTTTGGATCATAGGGTGGAGGGTGAATCCCCTCGTTCTGCTCCGTATGCCAAGGGCACACCTCCCAAAGGACCCACACTTTGGGGGGCTTTGCTCCTCTCTGCACAGATTTGGTGCCCACACCTGCCACTTCTATTGCTGGAAATTATTCATGTCAGTGCTGAAGGATCGTGACCTGAGGCTACGGAGAGTGTTATATGCACAGGAGGCATGAATCCCTCCCCTCAATACTGCATGAGTAATTTCTTTGTCCCTCATTTTGTGCCTTTGCCAGTTAGAATAATTATTTTAGAGTCACAATTAAGGGGCTTTTCATTGTGTTAAGTGGCTTTTCTGATCTCTGCTTTCAGATGGAATACCTGGCCGACAATGGGAAGAAGATCCCCATTCCACCCCTTTCGGAGGACTTTGTGATACTGCCAGAAATGAATTATACATCTGAGGCCATAGGAGAGAACGTCATCACTTCTGTCCTCTCCTACACAGTCTTCAAGAAACCTCATTCCTTCTTTTGTACCCCTCAAACGGTGAGCGATGCCGTCACTGGAATGTCAGGGCATTACTGTGGAGTCAGGGTCCTCCACCAAACGCTTCAGCCTCCTGGATCAGCCCGAGAGGCTCCTGATTTTAGGAGTCCTTTCCTAAGCACCTGCTTATCTCCTGTTTTCATTGGCCCAGCAGGGGGAACTTTACAGAAAGACGTGTGTTAGATCATAGCCATATGTCCGTCTGCTGGGGCTGGGAGACTCACTTCATGCTGCAAGTAGACATACCCTTAGAGACCAGGCTAGAGTGCTGGGTGGGATAATGGGTAGAGTGGGACTGCATTGCAGTCACTCTAGCTATAGTGGTGTGGCCACTGCTGGTTCGAGAACGTGCTTGAAGCAGGATCTCTGAATGAAAGGTTTTTGGGGGGTAGAGTATAAAGGGAGTTGGAGAGAACCAGAGGCATGGGGCATAGACAAAGGGGAAAGCCAAGGGAGGGAAGGGGAGGTCAGCCAGGGAGAGGAGGTACGAATGGGAAAATTAAGGGGGGAATTCAAGGGAAGACCAGGGAGGATTAAGTTGGGAGTACAGGCAAGAGGCTGAATATATGCAAACGAGGCAGTGCGGGTTCATTAAATATGCATGTTTTATGCAAATGCTGAAATGGTCTAATCTCCAGCTTTCTAGGCCTGGAGCCGGATCAGGTATGGTGCTGCTTCTGTGAGGTTTGGAGATCTCTGTGCAAAGCTATGTCCTTACTGATGCAGCTGTTTGTTCTTCGTTCACCTGAAACGGGTTGGATTTTGTTAATTAAAAGCCATAGAAAGCCTGGGCTAGGGGGAAGAACCTACAGAATATGGTTAGAATAATAAAAAAAAAAAGCCTATGGAGAAGAGCCAAATAGCACTGAAGACCTTTACTGACTCTGCCAGGTGGGGTTTCCATCCTTGAAACTCAGTGCAATACGCAGAGCTTAGTGGGAACAAGGACAGAGATCTGTTCAGCTAAATCCTATGTTCACTTGCTCCAAACCTCAGCAGGTGTGACTGGGAAAATAGGTTGGTTCCAAAACTCACCACACTGCCTGTGATGGCAAAGAAGAACCTTCCTGCGAAGTCTGACAAGATGAGGTCAAACTGTACATGAGCCGCGGTTGATTTAAAATGTACCCTGGTTCCCTCTAGTTCAAACCAGCTGGTACTCAAACGCTCTTTGGAGCTGGGGTGACTGTGCACTCCATGTTCAGAGGCAGCCCTGGGGCACAGAGCCACAAGTCTCGTCACCCCAGCACCGGTTGTGTCCTCTGCAGCACCTGCACACTTCACCTGTTAAAACACAAAACAAAAATACCCATTCACTGGGGCTTCATGTGGGTGGAGTGGTCTTCCCCCTGAAGGAGGAGGAGGAGGAGACCCAGTGCCGGGGAAGGTGCTGCAAAACCCGACGCTTCCAGCTGGCTATTAATTTTTGTATGCAATGTTGGGGTAGCTGTGATGGGCCTAGGGTATCAGAGCGGGATGGTGGGGGAGGTGATATATTTTATTGGGCTAAGTTTTGTTGGTGAGAGAGACCAGCTATGGAGCTTACGCAGAGCATGACGTGAAGAAGAGCACCATGCAGCCTGAAAGCTTGTCTCTCGCCAGCAAACGCTGGTCCAGTGACTGACGTGTTCTCACCCACCTTGTCGCATTCATTTTTGTTTCAGTTTCTTGACACTCTCTCCCTGGAGCTGATCCTCTCTGAACTGATTGTTTCCAAGGTGAGTTCCCCTCAGTCACACACTGATCATTTCTCTGTCGGACCGAATGTCACATTACTTATCCCACTGCACAACAGACCTTGCTGGTGGCTGAAGTGTTGATTCCGTGCCGGACCGCATAGGGGCCGTGGCACCTGGGGCCTTGGCTCTTGCTCCCGGTGCTGCTGTTTGGTTTTTTTTGTCCTAGCTGCATGGACTGATGGTCTTGCACCCTCTGAGAAAAAAGCAGCCCCTCCAGAGAGAGGGGAGTATTGTCCTACTGCAGCCTGGGCCCTGACTGCTGAAATGGAAAGCTGCAAGCTCTTGAAGAAAATTGGCTCATCTTTGTTGGAAAGAAACAGCCAGTCGGGAGAGGAGGCAGTGTTTGTCAATAGAAAATGGGGGCGAAGAGGGCGTAAGATTACACGAATCTCCATCCCAGTGAGGTGTTGGGGCTGATGTGACTTCTGAGATCACACAAGCAGGGCAGTCAAAATCTGCATTTGCTGGTGTGTCTCTGGGGATTACACAGCATTTACTGCTCCACCTACTGCAGGGGCTCAGAATAGCTCATCATGCCCTTGCTGTCGCCTGTCGTTTCCTTGTCTTTCCTCTCCAAGGTCCACAGGAGGGCCCACATCAATCTTGTTGTGTGTGTTTTTCTGGTTAAATCTAGTCCCTGGCCCCTCTGTCCTTACAGTGCCCAAACTGCACTCCAATCTCTTCTTCACTGCTCATCGTTACCAAACTAGTCAAACCTCTGACGGTCAGTCTGGATGTGAACCTGTGTGCCATGAATCTCACTCTCAGCCTGGAGATAATGGATAAAAAAGGAACCAAGAAACCTGTGCTCCTCATTGCTTTGAAAGCAGTAAGTACTAAGATAGAAAGCTCAGATTTCATCTCAAAGGGTGAAAAATGGAGGAGCTGCTGCCCAGTGGATACTGGCTTTCTGTACGTGGAGGCCGGCGGATGGGTTTGCGTTTACAGCAAAATGTCACATTCACATAGATGCGTAGGTGCTCTGGGTCTGTGACGCGAGTGATTCTGCAGCTGGAGGAGCAGCATCTTGCTAATAACTGTGAAAGCTGAGCATCGAGCGATGGTTTTCAGGAGACCCCAGCTCTGGTTAGGAAGAGCCTCTGAAGAATGCACTCTGCTCCAGGCCATATGGAATAACCACAGTCCAGCTTCCAGAGCATTGTCCCATCCTTGTGAATGAAATGTTATTGCTTTCCAGCTTTAAACTTCATACACAGTCCCAGGGCAAATCCATCATGCTGCGAGAGCTGAGATTTGAACCCTGCAGTTAGACAGAGTCTGGCTCAGGAGGGGCCAGTATCCCAGGAGGAAATGAGACCTTGTCCGTGGCACTTTGTGCCCGTGGTGTGCGGGTGGACTGAGCTGGGACTCAGGACTTGGCGGAAGCAGCATGTTTCTCGCGGCTCCGTCAGGTCCTGCGGAATCCAAGCTTGTGTGTCATTAAAACAGAGGAGTGTGCCCTTTCCGGCCGCCAACCAGGCCTTCCGAACGTGGGCAGACTGTGACCTGACGCAGAGCTGGTGCCATCTGACTGCATGGTCTGACAGAATCCATGGGGGCCTCTTGGCCCAACCGTTCTGAGAGGAGCTAACTGCCTCCGTGCTGCTCAATAGGGTGTTGACATTGAAGTGCCAGGAAAGCATTTTAAACTATCCCCTCCCTGATCAATGCAGCAGAATTACCCAGCTACCCTGGGAATGTGGGAGTGTCTTGGGTTGTGGGAAAGATCTTGGGCCACTTGATTTTCCCTTTCTGCCCCTTGATGAAAGTAATAACGAGGTGGCAAGAGAAGGCTTTTGCTTACGCTTCTGAGTGTTTGCCTGGTAGCAGTGAATTCACAGTGACCATTGTTGGCAGGAGTGAAAGTAACTTAAAGGACTTACCGGTACTCCGGAGTCCTGAGCAGGAGGGTGTGGCCTCGACCGGAAGAGGTGGGGCCTTTACATACCCGGGCCCTTTAAATCAGGATTTAAAGGCCCCAGGGCTCCGGCTGCGGCTGGGAGCCCGTGGGCCTTTAAATCACCCCTGGAGCTACCAGCTGCAGAGGCAGCTGGGAGCCCCGGGGCTCAGGGACAATTTAAAGGGCCCCGGGCTCCGGCTGCTGCTACTGCAGCTGAGCTCCGGGCCTTTTAAATCACCGTCGGAGCCCTGCCACTGCTACCCCAGGGGCTCCGGCAGCAGGGCTCTGGTGGCTCTTTAAGGGGCTTGGGGCTCTGGCCGCTGCGGGGAGCCCCAGGGCTCCAGCAGCGGGGGTTGAGGGGTGCTTTAAAGGGCCCAGGGCTCCCCACAACGGCTGGAGCCCCTCGCCCTTTAAAGCGCGGCTGGAGCCCTGCCGCTGCTACCCCAGGGGCTCCGGCAGCGGGGCTCAGGTGGCTCTTTAAAGGGCCCGGGGCTCCGGCCACTGCGGGGAGCCCAGTGCCGTTTAAAGCACCAGCCTGGGGAAGCCGGTCTGGCCCGGCACGGTGTACGGGCTCTTGCCAGTACACCGTACCGGCTTACTTTCACCTCTGATTGTTGGTTTCCTTTCTCTGAGTAACTTAACCCAAGCAGAGAGGAAGTGTCTCTGCTGTATTCTGCAGCTGATGGTCTGTTCTCAGAGCTCAGGTGCTGACACTCAGATCAGCTGATTTGCTGCCTCGTTTCCTCCTTGCAGAAACTCGGCTTGGTTGCCACTCTTCAGCTGGTTGAAGGGAAGGTTCAATTCACTGCATCCCTGGACAGGTATCAAGTCTTCCAAGTATTTTATCCAGAATGTGTTCATCTTAAACAATAGGTTTCAGAGTAGCAGCTGTGTTAGTCTGTATCCGCAAAAAGAAAAGGAGGACTTGTGGCACCTTAGAGACTAACCCATTTATTTGAGCATGAGCTTTCGTGAGCTACAGCTCACTTCATCGGATATGAAGTGAGCTGTAGCTCACGAAAACTCATGCTCAAATAAATGGGTTAGTCTCTAAGGTGCCACAAGTCCTCCTTTTCTTTTTTCTTAAACAATAGGATCCTGAACAGAAGTGATAGGCAATGAAGAGAGCAATGTGGCTCCCTTACCACCTGGATTTTAGGTTTTTAGATATTTGGGGACCTAAACTATGGGCTAATGATTTTGTGATTGGTAAGTCTGAGCTGGTTTCTTTTTTCCACAGTTTGCATTTCAAGCTTCTTTCCTCAGCCGTGGGCCCCGTCAAGGTAAGTCCTTGCTTGTATTAATGTCTGTGGTATGCTAGGAAGCAGAAACAAACATTTGTTCGAAATCAGGAGCCTGATTCTCCACAGCTCCTTTACATCATTCCAGCAGAATATTGGCCCCCGGGGGAACGCCAGAATACGCGGCGGCTGCTCATAGCTCAGAGATGGGGAGAGCGCTCTATTGTAGTCACCAATATAGGGCATGGGGGAGCAAGGAAGAGGGCACGGCTAGGGTTCTGTGTGCTCCAGTTATTCTCTGCCACCCATGGCCCCAGGGGCCTGTATCTATGGCTCAATGAACACTATGTTCTTACCAAACTTTATTATTGTTGCCTTAAATGAAGATTTTTGTTGGAAGGTGGTGGGGAGTAACCACCCACTGCAGGTTTCTTACATAGTCTTGTACCATTTTATTTTGCTCAGAAGACCCATGTTTTGCTATTCCAGCTACCTAGTGGGGCAGCTTGGCATTTTTGCATCCAGAACAAAAGGCTTTAAATGATTTTATGAAAGCTCTGACTGGAATTTTGAATGGTTGTATCCTCTGTCTGATGGGAAATAGCACTGCATAAGCGTGCCTGGGCTCTGTGGCTTTGAGGGCAGAAAGTGCCCTCTGGAAGGGAAAGGAAGAGGGATATTGGCCCTGGCTGGGGAGGATGGGCATTAGAATACTGGACAAGTCATTGCTGCTCCCACGCATCAAACGATTCTTTCTCCTTTGAAAAATGTACGAACCCAGCATGGCTTAGGTCAATGGATCACTGTGTCTTGGCATTTTATACTGCTGCCTGTCACTGTAGCATCTGAGCACCTTTCATGTAAAATTAATAGCAATAGCAAAATCTCTACGGGACTTCCTGGAGTCACTGGCACGTCTTCCTTTTTGGGGTAAAAGACTGTGCTGGGGGTAGGTGTTTTGGGAGGTGTGTGGGTAGAAGAGGGGGATCAATGCTGAGTGTGTCATTCTGCTGTGAGTATCATTCTGGATTAGCTTCATCTCTGGAAACTTATTCCACAAGTGGAACTCCTTGACCCAGGCTCTGTCCCCAGTTCTCACATGCTTTGACCTCAGCTTTGTGATCTCCATTGTCCCAGTGGGGTGCAAATGTCTTTGTGGTTCATAGATGGAAATTTGGTCTGTAACAGAGCTGGGGCTTTGATCCATTAGTTGCTTTGAAGGTTAGGACTGAGGCCTTAAACTGGCATCTGAATCTGATTGGGAGCCAGTCGAGGGACAGGGGCATGGATCTGAAGTGCTCACAGAAGCTTAAATGGATCTGTTAACTGCACTTCTAGAAAACAAATATATTGATGTTCTTCCAGGCCCAGCTGAAATCCAGTTGCTGCGAGATCGTTTGGGTGACATCTGTAGAAGTTTCATGTTGTTGATGTACTTACTAAGTCATCTCTGTGTTTCAGATTGTACGTTTTCATGAGCCCCTGAGAGCTTTCATCCAGAAAATTATACTAAAGGAGATCAACTGTAAGTCTGGTTAGATGTTTTCTTCAGTGATTTCTTGTCTGCCAAGTACGTAGTCTACATCTCTGTGTGCGGCGGTTAAGTGATCACAAATGCCTCATGCATTAATTTGCAAAAGGCTCTCCCTGTCTTCCTAAGGTAGGTAGGCAGGACACATGCTGCTGCCTTCATTAGATGGTGACTGTAAGAAAAGGAGTTATGAAATGGAGACTCTTTGTTTTTTTTAAAAAAGGGCATTTATGGGAGTGAAATTCCCTTCTCACTTGCCCACTATCTTGAGAATTCCCTTTGACAGGGCTGTCCGAGAGAGAGAGAGCCCAAAATCACACAGGAAAGCCACTCGAGAAATGTAAAGGCTCCTGCAGTCTGTTTACTGAAATTCCCTCTAAAGCTTTCCTCTCCCAGACAGCTTCCTCCGACCAACAGAAACCCAAGCACTAAACCAGTAACGAAGCTGCGGCATAATGGGCTGCTTACTGCATCTGTACATGAATTCTGGATTCTGTCCCCTCCCCCCTCCATAGGTCCTGCCTTGAGCGTCTCTTTATCATGTCCACTAGTTATGTTTTATCGTTTAGCTGCAAGCTCTTGGGGCAGGGAGTATCATTTATGACGTTTGTACACTGCCTGGCACCTGGGCCTGGTTGTGTCCCTTGGGCGCTTCTGCAGTATAAATATTTAATAATGGGGTGTGTATAGTACCAAACACTGAGGCCCAAATTTTCCAAAGTTCACTTTGGCACATGCCTGATTTCTATTTGTTTAAGACCAGATGCATGCACCAAATCAGGAACACACATGAGTGCCCCTTTAATTTGGGCCTAGAAGCTGGTTCTTCAAATCACGTCTTGATCCGCCTCCTTCTAAGGATGGGTGTGGTTTTTTGTCCTCTAAGCTAGTTTGAGTTTGCAAACTGTATACAAGTTCACTAACCGCCCTGGGAACACCCTGCGGTTATATATCCTGGTACGTTCACTCATTACAAAACCCTAGTTAGAGTGTTCATGATTAGTAGCTTCTCTGATTTTGTGCCTTTGAGAGGCAGCCTTCTTATATGCCTCTGGGCAGTGGATCTCTAGGCGCTTCCAGAGAGCCATAATCCCTGTACAAACACTGGACCACTGCTCGCCTGTTCCATGTGCTAGGCAGCAGATTGCTTGCTGCCCAGATCTGTAGCAGCAGCAAAGTGGTCCCATAGCAGAGATGCAAAGCCATGTCCCAGGTTGCGGGGTTTTGAAGAAAGCCCATGGAAGCAAGTGGAAAAGATGTGCTGGGTTTTCCTTGTGGCTCACTTGTCACATTTAGGTTCCAATCAACCCAGTGTGCAACAGAGGGATGGGCAAAGTCCCCTTGCCTAGTTCAGTACTGGTGGAGATGGGCTAAAGCCACAACCCTGGCACCTGGGTCTGGATGTCAAACAACTGAGGCTGGGGGTTGTTCAGATGCCGTGTTGGGGTCTGACTGGGCCCATTTGCAGAAATGGAGTTCATGTTTCACTGAGAAGCTGTGGAAAAGGGCAGGATGGGAAAAAACGAGAAAATAGGGTGAAAAATGGAGCCCATCAGCGAGGTGGAAAAACTGAATTGAAAAACCCAGGTACAGTGTCTAAATACATGTCCTGGCTGGAGGCCACACATCCGCGTTCCCTGGATGGAGGGCACTCAGCTGTACCAGCCTAGCTTCCTTTCTGCCATGGGGTTGGGTTCTTCTCTCCCAAACACAGAGCCGTAGGTATCCTTCAACTAGAATACCAAAATCTCTGACCCACCTTGGTGTTGTGTGGGATAGATTTAAGTGACAGGGCAAATGTGGTTGATCTCTGGGCCCCTGATCCTGCGAGCTCTCTCTGCCCACCTGGATCTCCCAGTGAAGCCAGCACAAGGAGACTAGTAGGATGAAGCCCGAATTCACTTTGAGAACCCCATAAGTCCAAAGGAAAATGTGCCAGGTTTTCCAGGAGATTTACCCTGCTCATAGCATGGGCAGTCACCAATCTGATCTGAGTGAGAACCAAGCAAAGGGTGCATTTCTCTTGTCTAACATTATCTATAGCACTGTAAATGCATATGGCTCCTGCAAACCTGAAAGACCTGTTCCATCCACCATAAAGCTTTGCTGATCACTCCCACCCAACAATTATATTGTCTCCCAGTGCTCAATGCTATGATGATTAAACTTGGCAGATACGTGAAATTCTGCATCTGGCTCCTTGCAGGCTGAGAGTGCTGAAAGATGTGTTTGTTTGTTTCAGTTTATCTCCACTTAGGAAAAATCCCAATATTTAAAGCACCAGGATTGAAGCCCAGCATTGCCCATTGCCACCCTTCTAAGGTAAGGCTTCTGAGAGGTGTGAAATCTGTTCTTTCGGCACCATATCACTGCCCCTTGATACTCCTCTGCAGCATCTGCAATAGGGAGGTTTCTTTAAAAAAAATATCAGGTTACAAAAAATGTACACTTGAAGATTTGCAGCTCTCATATGTTTTAGAAAGCCATCTCCTGCCCCTAAGCGATAGCTGGCCCTGGGCATTTTTGCACTGGGAGAATTCCCAAATGATTCCACATGCCAGTCTGGCTCTTATTGTCCACAGAGATATACTACAACATTGTAGCAGCCATATTTTAAAGGGATCTCCACCCAGCCAGCTTTGCATGTACAGTACATTTTACCTGCTGCTTTCTGCGTGAAAATGCAAGCGAGAGAGACTTTTCACACCATCTGCTTTGTATGTGAAATCTACCACTTGCATGTGAATCTGGCAGAGAACAGAAAATTGCATGCCTGGAAACCACATCTTGGAAATGCTGATTTTCTGACTGGCCATAACACCCATGAACATGCAGGGTAACCTCGTAGAAGGCATGTTAGCTGGTTGTGTCATAATGTAGTCTCACACATAGGCTACTAAATGAGCATCTAATGTGACTTCAAAGGTGCTAGCTTGCATTGATATGGGTGTTAAGAGGACTCTTCAATTGTATTAAGCTAACACAACTGAAAAAATCAACCCCTTTGCCTGAAGAAAAGGAGGACTTGTGGCACCTTAGAGACTAACCAATTTATTTGAGCATGAGCTCTCGTGAGCTACAGCTCACTTCATCGGATGCATACCGTGGAAACTGCAGCAGACTTTATATACACACAGAGAATATGAAACAATACAAAACAAAACAACCCTTTGCCTGAGTAGACATGAGTTGGTGACTGCTGCATTTCCTTTAAAAGCTGCAGTATTAACTACAAATTCAGTTTTGTAAAGTATTTTGCTTTGGAATTCCAGGACTGTGAAAGGTGCATACTTGGTAAAACGAAAATTTTATTCTCCTTCTTAAAAGTCTTCATAAAAATCACTGAATTCTTAACTCTCTCAAATTGCTTTCTTTCCAATAGTCGCATCTGACCCTAATCGGGTTAAATGTTTCCAACTCTCTCACCACATTGCTCTGATACTAAACCCGTTACTGTGCAACCCACTTCATTGAACAGCTGGGAAGGAACTCACTGGGTGGAAGAGTCCATCCTTTGGACATGAGCTGAGAATTTCTCCTTTGTTGTTCTAGCGCTGTCTTGTGTGCCATAACAAGCTCCATAAAGGGTGATGTGCCAGGCGAGTGTGGTGCCGACGCCCCTCTGACACTGAGGAGAGAGGAAGAAACAGCGGCACAAATGAGGAGGTTTAATTCATGGGTGGTTTTTTTTTTTTTTTTTTTTTTCCAAAATTTTGATTCAGGCTTTTTACTCTGGGGGAAAAATTGCCCCATCTGCTATGGAATTTCAGTTGAAGAACTGCAGTAGATCTCAAAAAGAAAAGGAGGACTTGTGGCACCTTAGAGACTAACCAATTTATTTGAGCATGAGCTTTCGTGAGCTCATGCTCAAATAAATTGGTTAGTCTCTAAGGTGCCACAAGTACTCCTTTTCTTTTTGCGAATACAGACTAACACGGCTGTTCCTCTGAAACCTGCAGTAGATCTGATAGTCTCCTTGTTACTTTACAATACTATTGGATTTGCTATTTTTCAAATCAAATCTGTCTTGAGTGATGAGTTTCAGGGAGGGTTTGGGACATTGTGGTTATTGTTATATTACTTTCCTTTGGTTACTGTGTTAATAAATCATTCTCCTTAGCCTGTGTGCCGTGTTCATTTCACCCCACTGCAGGATTCATTGAATCATAGAATATCAGGGTTGGAAGGGACCTCAGGAGGTCATCTAGTCCAACCTCCTGCTCAAAGCAGGACCGATCCCTGATTTTTGCCCCAGATCCCTAAATGGTCCCCTCAAGGATTGAACCCACAACCCTTCGTTTAGCAGGCCAATGCTCAAACCACTGAGCAATCCCTCCCCCCATTTGATAATTCATACTGCTCCCCACCCCCACATAAGATTTGTGTATTAGTAATGTGATGGACTCAGACCAGAAGGATAAAAGAGAGTATTTTTTTTAATGAATAATTAAACTGTTTATTCAGTCATTCTTGCACTTTACAGCTGGAATTCTGGGAACTCAAAAATAACATCTTCGCCAGTGAGCTTCTTGTAGACACCTGAAAATGTTTCCACCTTGTGTTCAACATTATTCTGTTCTGCTTTGTCCAAATGGACCTTTATGAATCTGCTGCCGTCTAGTTTCACGCGGATTCTCTTGCCCACAATTTCTCTAGGGAAGATCAGATCTTCGAGAATGGCATCGTGCACGGCTCCTGGGATGCTTTTGCTCGTAGTGAAAGGCAGGTATATCAGCCTCAAAATGAGCAGTTCCCTATTCCCTGGATAGCCAAACAAAGGCTACTCCAGGCCAATCAAGACACCTGATGCCAATTAACCACTTGAGGTCGTTAGGCTAATGTCGGCACCTGAGCCCAATTAACTGGCAAAGGGTCAGTAGGGCTGTTAGGCTAATAGAGACAGCTGGGATCAATTAAAGTCTCACTCACACTGCTTAAAAGCTCTCCTTTCTGGCTCTCTGGGGAGAGCCCAGGTGAATGGAGCTAGAGGAGAGGAAGCCTTGCTGAATCCTGAGGTAAGGGCGAAGCTGGGAAAAGGGGACCATGGGGAAGTGGCCCAGGGAATCAAAGCACCGTCAGTGGTGAAGGGAAAGCCGTCAACAGCTACTTCCCTGGGCCAGAACCTGGAGTAGAGGTTGGGCCTGGGTTCTCCCCCTCCCGCCATACTCTGCAGAGATCCCCTTGAGAGGGGAAGCAGGACTCAATCCAGGCAGGAGGCTGAACTGCGCCCACTGAGCTCTACGGAGCAACAGAGACTGCAGGGTATTCCCCCTTCCCATCTCTCATACTGGCCTGTGATGAAAGTAACTCAAGAGGCTGTGATGCTTACTGCTACAGCAAGAAAGGGAGGTCACATTGGGGTCTTATCGAGTGTCCAAGGCCACTGAATCCGCCTAGAAGCGCGGGACCCACCAATACAGGCTTGGAACTTTGTCACACAATTAATTCCATCTGCTGGCCTTTGTTGTCCAGTACATATAGGTTGTACATATACACACACACACACACGACATTAATAGTTATGTGCATGTATTAATATTTGATTTGTGTGTGTGTGTGTTGGATGATCATGCTAAATTGTATTATTCTTATTCTTGCTCGCTTATGCTAAGGCATATGTCCCACAATGCTCTGGGACAAGTGTGGTTTAGCACTTGGCTTAGGCAAATACACGAACTATCCAAAGCTAGATGGACAAATGTTCTAAACAAAGGAGCAATGCAGCACAAGGAAATCATGGAAGCTGTATGAATGCTTTGCATTAGGGAGTATCTTCATGCACCGTAACATTTGGAATTTAATATTCAAAACGAAAGATGGGAAAGTACAGGAGGCATAGAAACAAAGCTGGCTAGTTATGCTGAAACTTGGTGTGTGAGCAGTGCTCTGCAGCTTGTGAACATCACTCTGTAAAAGTTTGCTGTTCTAAGGAGGCATTTGGGTGAACTGAACCTTCTGGGTGAACTGAAAATGCTGCCAGAGACTTTGCTTCTGGGAAGGATTGGTGAGGTATTAACTCTTTCCTGTACAGTACTGCCTTGTCTTTAGACAATACATTTGGTTGAGCTTCATTATCTAGTCTCTTGAACATTCTTAATATTGAACCTCAGGCATAGTCAATTAGTTGGCTGCTATACCTTTTAATCAGTATCCTCATGGAAACCAGATGTTAGAAATGAAAAGTTCAGGTAGGTCATCTGATCTATTGCTTCCTGGATTACGCTTTCTAGTGCTTTGTCCAATCTAGTCTGAAAGGTAATCTGCAAAGGAGGAGGAAAAGAGAGTTGGGCCTTTTATTGCTTCCTTATGACATACTTAAAAAAAAACAACTTGAAAATGTTTTTCTGCTTGTTCTTTTCCTTGGACATAACAGGGTCACTTCTTGTTTGAGAACTTCTTGGAGGATTCAGGAAGTATGTAGTGGGAGTTCTCTTAATTGAAGGGATGGGAGAGGTGGGATCCAAAATGTTTTACTTAAATAATTATTAACCAATACTTACAATTTTAAATAATCTGGAAAAAAAATCATTGCCCTCTCAGTTAATCAGATTTCACTTCTTTATTACTTGAGTCATGCACAGTGTCTTCCAGGGTAGAGAAGCCACCTCCCTTGGAAGCTGTTCCATACCCTAAAGTGACCTCTTCTCGTTCAAAGAAAAAACATTACACTGAGCCAGAGTGTGTCCCCCTCAGTCCTTCCTCAGACAAAGCCCCCGTTGAAACACCTCTGGACTTCAATGACAACTTTTCCTCTCTCGGAACATCAGGGTTTTCCTGTTTTTATAGGAGGGCAAATTCTACCTGTCTGTAAACATCAGAGTGGTCTAGAATTCACAGAACAGTTGTTGGCTGTTACAGCCGTTCATGTGGCAGGAAATGGTCTGATGGTAAAAACATCCTCACTTCTGCCCAGAGCAAGTCCCAGGTTCACTCTAGCATCTTAGAAGTAAAACAAACATTTGCCTCCACTCACAAGGAAAAGTTTTCGGACTGGAGCCCCCCTTTTTTACTGGCTTTTCCTGGTCTGGTTGTGCTGCGACTGCATCGCGGACATTTGTATGACAATCTCCCACCCCTGCATAGCACCAGATCAGCTCCCCTGTGGCAGCAAAGATTGCAATGCTGGGGTGGATGGGCTGCTGCTGGCCCCTTCCCCATGTCCTCTAGACCTGCTGAATTGGTCTCAGGCTGTTGGGATGCGCTAAACAAACAGCGATAAACAGACTAAAAAAGATTCAATATGGGTATAAAGTAGAGCTGTTCGACCATTTCCATTGATATACAGGCAGTGTTGTAGCTGCATTGGTCCCAGGAGGTTAGAGACAAGATGGGTGTGGGAATATCTTCCATAGGATCAACTTCTGTTGGTGAGAAAGACCAAGCTCCTGAAGAGACGAGCTCTGTGTAGCTCAAACCCGTGACTCTCTCGTGGACAGAAGTTGGCCCAGTAAAAGATATTGCCTCCCCCACCTTGTTGCTCTAATTTTCCATTGAAACACTTTTCCAGCAGTAAATGGTTTCCTGATGAAATGGAAACTTTCATTAAAAAAATCCACTTTCTTCAATAAAATTCAGGTTTTAGCTGAAAACTCCCAAACTGATTTTTGGAAAATGTCTCAGAAAAAGAAATGTTCATGGAGTGTGTGTGTGTGTGTGTGTGTGTGTGTGTGTGTATAATTCCTGAGCCGCTCTGGTATAAAACACAAGTCTGCAACCTTCCGGGGCACTAGTTCTTGTAATGTACATACTTCACTTCATGGGATCGAAGGCATATAATTGCATGGATCAGAACCTCTTCAGATGGTGATAAAGGGCTAAGGTAAAACCCAGCCTCCATGAGGGAAAATCCCGGCTTGTGTGCGCATGCTGTTGGTCACATATGGCAGCTACACTGCTGCCTTCCAAGGAGCCAGCGGTCGCCCTTCACCTCTGATGACGTGTCTGAGATATTGACAGTTCAACGTGCACACAGTTTAAATTGCACCGGTGGTGAAAATGCATCCTAACCCTAATCTCACCAGAGCTCTGTCAAGCGGGGCTGTGTGCGTCCCTACACCTGAGCTGGAAAATACTCTGGTTCTGTAGGGCTGGGGCAGTCTGCTGTTTGGGGTGGCTTGGAGGATCTAATAGGGCAGGAGCTGTGAACTATCCTGGACAGCAGCAATGTCATCAAATTTGGCAAAGAAAGAGCCAAGATTCCCACTTCTTCCACTATTCTGTGCGCCGGGTACGCTGTACGAACTCATAGCAGTTGTTTTATTTTCCAGTGCAGCCTGCTACAGAGGAAACCTGCGCCCCTGTGCTCGCTCAGGGAGAACCGTACCTTTGTTCGTTCTTGTTTTGGTCTCTTCTGTGTCGTTCAGATGGAAGCGTGGGGCTGCTTTTTGTGTATGACGTGAGATAGTGGTTGTGAGATGCAGCACGCCCAGGGTGCAGAGAGCACAGTTACAGGAGCGAATGGGAGTGTTCAGACGATGGGTAGCAGGTGTATCCGACAGCTGGGAGTGTGAGCATAAGGGAGACAAGCCCCACGTGGTCTCGAGCCCACCTGAAGGTGTAATACGGGAGGTGCTGGGGCTAAGCCAGGCGGTATTTGCAATGGAAGCTCTAGTAACGCAGTTAGGTCAGCTTGGGCCAGATGAGCCACTGCGTGACAGTAAATTGGCTGAACAGAATCCTATTGTGTGCTAAGGAACTTGGGTGTTGGACTCTAGAAAGCCGTGATACTCAGAGTCCCAGCCATCTGCATGTTAGGGAGCTGATTTGGACCTGGGTGTCTATCGCCTGAAGGCCTGGGTGTCTATCACCT